TTTGGTTTTGTGTGGTTTACATGTAAAATAATAATTACGAGTCCCACCACTAGAACACTTAGCATGGCTAGGCATTTCGGGCAGGACTTAAATTAAATCTTAAGTTTAAAATATTACTGAATTATGAGGTAAGTTGGTATTATGGCTAAGTGACTAAATACTAGTTTGTGAGTTTAGCAATGTGAATGCTTTTGTTTTGACACTATACATAGTTTCAGTATTGGAGTATCACAGGCCAACTTATGACTAGTTAAGATTCATTATTTTGAGATTGAGATTGATATTGATATTTCTGTTTATGGTCAAATGGGTGAGTGAGTAAGTGTGAACCACCAGGTGGTATTCGTGTAATTAGTTGACAGGGTGTATCAGGGATACAAGATGTTTTCTAATGGTAGTTTTGAAGGTGATGAATGTGTCTGCAGTTCTAGAGTTCTCAGGTAGGGTGTTCCAGATTTTAGGGCCTTTGACATACATTGAATTTTTGTAAAAGTTTAGTCGGACACGGGGAATGTCAGAGATGTGTGTGTCTGGTGTTGTGCCTGTGGGTTCTGTCACAACTATCAAGAAAGCATTTTAGGTCAAGGTTAATATTGGAATTTAAGGTCCTGTAGATGTAGATTGCACAGTAGTAAGTGTGGATGTACTGAACAGGGAGTAAGTTTAGATCTATGAAGAGTGGGGGGGGGGGTGTTGCCAGGAATGGGATTTAGTGATTATTCTTACTGTGGCCTTTTGTTGGGTTATTATTGGCTTTAGGTGTGTTGCTGCAGTTGAACCCCAAGCACAGATAGCATAGGTGAGGTAGGGATATATAAGTGAATGGTATAGTGTGAGAAGGGCAGTTTGCGGCAAGTAGTATCGTATCTTGGAGAGGATCCCAACCGTTTTGGATACTTTTTTGGTTATGTGTTGGATATGGGTGCTGAAGTTCAGGTTGTCGTCGAGGTATGGGCCTAGGAATTTGCCCTCATTATGTCTGGCAATTAGAGTGTTGTCGATCTTAATTTAATTTGCGCATCTCCTGCTCTGCTACCAAACATAATGTAGTAGGTTTTGTCAGTGTTAAGCGTGTCATTGTTAATGCTGCGGGGTGCCCACAATGTGAAGAATTTAAGATCAACGACTATGAATAACCCTGGACCCTCCTGTTCCCAGCGTGTGCGTGTGTGCAGGTTTTGACAAATCTGAAGTTAGTGTCAAGTGAAGGACGAAACCAATGTTGGCGCTCATATCCCTCTCTTCCATCGAACCACACCCACTGTGGTGCTGCACCACCAAACCACACCCATTTTATGGTGCTGCTCCACTAAAAGATTCTTGTAAGGTATTACTGGCAAGCACAGTGCAGAACAAACCTTCATTATGAACAAATATAACGCTCTAATTGGCGCGAATAAGTCAATGATATGATATAGCTCTACCCAGTCAATTTTTTTTTTACAAAGCACTACAATCTATTTTTCAATACTTAACCATTAGCTTGTAATATAGATTTTACACAGTCATTGTCAACTTCATACTGCCATGATCGTGTCACTCTTGCATAAATCGTAGACAAAGTAAAACTAGTCCAAGTAGCTCCCACATTCCGCTGTATATATTTAAAATTCGCTAGAAGTCACCAACAGTATCAGCATAATTAGATGGAAAGGAAAAATATCCTAATGGATGTTGAGAGATGCTGGGACTTACGTCAGGTAAGGACGCTAGACACTGGCACCCTTCAAATCTGATTACCGTGTTAAGGTCACCCACCGTCAGGGAACAGCGAAATACACTATAATAAGGGAGTATTACGCTGCACCACTATTTACTTTAGTACAACACTAATGAAGCAACAACCGACTTCTTTCGCCATACACTTTTCTGCTCCACTAATCAACCTTAATCGTACTTTTCCCAGCCACACGAAGGTGTATCCATATTACCTGTTAACTTTCCCACAAACTCTCACACCACGGCCAGTGGCTCGACTATATAAATACTGCCTCAGACCGCACACCAGTATGGCAGCTCCAGTTTACTCCAGTCACCTCAAAACTGATTTTTTTTGTCGTTATTACTTTGCTACGAATACGTGGCTCCAGCCACACCCAGGCTGCTAAAAATAACTTGTTACAATGGAATAGGAAGGTAGTTAGGAAAATACAAAAGTGAATAGGTTACGCAAGTGTACGAGTTGAAAATATTTGTGAAGTGATATGCAGTACGAATTATGACCCAGTCATATAAAAGTGGTTCATGGAAGGACGAAGTGGTGGGAAGAGGAATTTGTTTCATCTTTCACATCGTACATCAGGAGGCTGGTGGGGACGTCAGTAGGCTAAGCACTATTACTGGATTAAATTATGGTGAACGTAGCGGCTGTGGTTGCAACAACCAATATAATACTCAGTATATCCCCGTGATAAATAAGGTCTCTGCAACCGTCACCCCAGACATATCCTTGACACGTTTCACACTAGTGACTGCGCTCAGTCATGATCACATTATAGTCACGCTTCAACGCCCCTGCATATGATAGAGAAAAAAAATACGAGACGTGGGACACGCAGACAAAGGCTAAAGCGAGTACAAGTCATCAAACACTTGTGTCCACATCATACCTTAAGTGCCCCCAGGAAACTAAGTTATCTATCAGTAAGAATGAAGTTAGACAACGGGTAGTAAAGGTAAGGAACGCAAGATTTAGAGAGACGACCCATGAGAACTGCGCTCCTAGTAATTTAATAAATTATATAAAATTCGAATAATTTATTTTCAAAGCATTGTGATGAATGGTTTTGAAAACCGACAAGTTGAAGAACTGAGACACTTATGCAACATATGGGAATCTTTATTGAATAAACGTTTCGCCACACAGTGGCTTCATCAGTCCAATACAAAAGGTAGAAATGGGTAACACATACATACATATTTAATACTCAAAATCCCACAGCATTTCACAGACATTAAAGCTAAAACTACCTATAAAAAATAAAAACTCACGTACTAACAAGAAAAATACTAAGAGGGGGAAGGAGAAAGATGGGAGAGTGGTAGATATCTGAAGCATCTATTGGGGGGGGAGAAGCAACTAATTGGCAGTTCGAAGTTCTCGCTATATAGGTGGTTACCCATCCGCTTACTGGGCAACCCGTCTGGATTTTAACTAACGACCTTTGATCTCTAGCGCTTCAAGGGACAGTTGTAGATCCAGAGT